CAGACTTTGTTCTTTAAATTATTGCTCAGATATACACAGCAGACTTGACAGCCTCCGAATGTATTGCTGGCTAATGCTAATCATCAGAATTTTAATTGAAGTACTATCTGGTGTACGTGAAAAGTAATTACGTGCAACTAACACAAGTTGTGTGACCGGCTGCAATATGCAGAGAAGTGCATTGTTGGCACTAGAGCTGCTCATATAAAATGAAGTGGTGTTTGCTTTAAAGTGAAAAATGCCTACACAGAGCATTAAGAGAGCTGTTACCATCCAGACAAAACCTAATCTAATACTACTATTAACTCAAAAACAAATATGCTATCCCACATACCTTAAACTTTCTCACTGTTTTGTTGTAGCTACTTGTTTTCTTCCTGAGAATATTATTAATGCATTTAAAATTTTACCTTAACAAATGCTAAGTAAGTCTGCCCTAGCTTTGCTTAGTTGCAGGGCATTATGAGTGTCCAAAGCCAAAGGAAGGTATATTTGAAGGCTGCTTGTGCCTAACATGTTTTCCTTCCACAATCTGTCAGCACATTTAGTATCTATCAGAGCTAGTAATGACCACATACATTCAAATGCCTAATGAAGTGTTCTCACTGCAAAAAAATAGATATTCACACAAACCTAACGGCAAAGCAATTCATCTTCACTGTCTGGCAGGACGAAGTGCATCTGTGAAGAATTTGGGTTCATTTGCAGTTAACTAAGTGACAAAATGTCCACCTAGCTAAAAGGGATGCCCCAAAACTCATTTTAAATGAGAAAAATAAACTTTTTTGTTTTATATCAGACAGCGTTCCACTAGCAAAAGACCTATGAGGTAATACTTACCTATCTGCAGCTTGTATGGGGAAAAGGATTTCACTGTAGAAAGTTATTGAGGATAGTAAAAATTTCTTTATCGCTGAACTTCTCAAACAGATTTTTTTTTTTCTTGACTGCTGGATTCCACCTTTTCGGTTAAGTTCTTCACTTAGAAAAACAGCAAAATTAATTAAAACTTGGGATTTAATTCCTCACTATGACAGCTAAAGGCACTTGCAGATCTGCACAGTGCCTTACCCTCCAAGGTAGCGTACGTGCGTGGTGTGAAGGAAGGGCAATGCTCTCTGCTCTGAAGTCTGAGGAAGCACACCCAGGGAAGGCAACCTGAAAACATGACATCTCAGAGCAGTGATTTCTTTTGATGCAGTTACCTTGAGGGAAGTTAATGTTTTCTGTAGGATGTGAGGGAAAACAGATGGAATCCTCCCATCAGTCAAGTCCCTGGATAATGGCTCTGTTCTTATTCCACATTAGTCTGTTCAAGTATTTGGAAAACATTCATCTGTCATAGTGTAATGTGAACTATTTAAGTATTCTAGGAAATTTTTCACGTAATATTAAAAAACATCCCCAAATCTAACTCTTCTCCTTACTTAATCTCTCTTGCTGTTGATCTTCTGGCCTTCTCTCTCAGATTCCCCATTTTATAGCCTTCTGGCACATACACACTTTCCTGCTGATGATCTAGGAACATCTTTTAAAACCAAATTGAAATTTGGTGAAAGATAATGCACAAAAGCCAAAATGAATATACATGCATGCTGCACTAAGTAGAAGAAGAAAAATTTAGGACTTAAATTTTTAAATACATGCCAGCATGTCACACTATCTCTGCTGCAGATACGTTACTCACCCTAAGTTGGAAACTATGTCAACAACTCCACGAGTATGAACAGGCTTTTTGCTTCACATTCATATATTATACAGGGATCTGCTGGCTTTACATTTTTATTCATCTAGGAGGAACTTGTCACAAAAAGGATTATATAAAAAAATTAACACCTGTTATTCTTATATTATAGCACCTGCACTGCTAAAGTGAGAATAATATACAGTTATATATGCAGTTCTTTGCTGCAAATTTCCACCAGTTAAATAAAATATGCAGTTTGGGGAAAAAAAAAAAATTATCTGTCTCAAAGGAAATTTTCTCCCACAAAATAATGTGTCTGCTCATGCTCACAGAGTAAAACTACCACTCTGAATTTCCTTCATAAAAAACTGAAACCAAAGCCATCTACTGACTCAATTCCTCTGCCCTTAGCCTAAATAATTGGTACTCTTCTCCTTAGAGATCAGTAAGAGAATCAAAATTACAGGTCTGTTCCTTATGATCATCAGAATTCATTAGAGCTAGCAACTGGCAAGGTATACACAGAATATTAGAAACCACAAAGTACTTATTTGTACTTTCTTAGTTGTCTTCAATGCATTTGCCAAATATCTTAAAATCTTGTGACAGTTCAGAAATACACCTTCTGTTCTCTTAGCTCCTATGCTATGTAAACCCTTGTTGCAGAGCCAACAAAGTGCTGTTCCTTGAAACATTTTAAGATAGTGTGCGTTCTTGTTTTTTATTTCTCCAGAATTACTCCTTACTTTCATATTTGTCATTCAGTGAGAACTCTACATGCCCTCTACCTCTCTTCCCATATCAATGAAATTGGTTTCATCTAATGGTGACACCAGCCATGCATCCCCATGTAAATAAGCCTTGGGATCACTAACACCTTTCTTCTGTTACAGTATAACTAACTGTGTGCACCGTAAGGCTGTCCTGTGAGCAAAAGTTAACTCAAACCTACTTGAATGAACACATTTCTTACAAGTTGCCACAGATTTTTAAAAAATTAAAAGGATGGAACAAAGCCAACTTTGTATTCAACAAGCATTGATAAGAAATTACTTTGGTTGGTTTGTGTACCCAAACCAACTCTTCTCTCCTCATCTTTAACGCTGCTTGTTTCCTCAGTCTGCACACACTGCAGCCATGTCACCCTTGGAAATCATTATTGTAGCTGACAGAGTAGCTGATTGATGTGGCTAAATCATTGTAAGCTTGTTTAAGAGGATTAAAAAAGCTTTATATTGATTTAGCAATATAAGGTACTTTTAATCAGTTTAAAGAGCATCTACACAAGGTGGCTGCATCAATTGCACCGTTCTGTTTAGCAGGTGATCCAATGAGACATGCATCTATCCAACTGGATCACCTGCTAAACAGATCAGTTCAACTGCTACACCTCTGGTGTACAGAATGGCTGCAAGTGCAGCTTCCTCCAGAGAAGAAACAGAGTCACGGTAAGACAAATGCAGTTCTCACACTTTTATGTACATTCCTATATGTTTCAGGTTCCAGTATTCTTCAGGGCAGCTGCACTGGCTGCCAGAATATCACAGCAACATGTGAGTGCTGTATGGTTCTTCTAATACTTGGAGGCAGCAGTAGACCGACTGCACAGAATGCAAAGGTGATTGGTGTGAGTACCACAAATCTGCCACTTCCTGAACTTATCAAGCTCACTGTGTAAGATGTATCAAACTTCCTGGGAAGTTCACCTTTTCAGTGTGAGTATTTCTGCAAAAATAAATAAAACTAGAAGTCCTCAAATTCCTTTCAGACAATATTTCTGATCAGGGAGGTTTTAGGTATATTCCACTCCTACCATAGAACAGAATTTTATGCTTGTAAACATTAATTCAGTGCTGTGAATCGCAAGAGATTTTACCACAAAAATCCCAACTGTCTTGAAGTAAAAGCAAAGCATAGCACATGAAAACAGGAGTTTAAAACTAATGACACACATCTCTACTTGCAGTTTCCTTGTACTATAAGATAACCCACACAAATCTCATTTTCAGACCCTATTTGCTTGTCTGCGTCACTCTGTTTCCCAACAACAAAAAACTGCCTGATATCTGGACAACACATTTTTTTCAGTCTGCCTTATTATTATTATTTTTTTTAAATACTACATTCTCAGCATTGAAAAAAGAAAATGTGTAACATGGTAGGAGTGCAGGAAGTAGTATATTCATAATAGATAATAACTCGGGATTTGTCACTTTCCTCTCTGCAAGAGATTGCCCAGCAACCCACTGTTTCAGCTTCCAGCTTGTTTCCCATCAAATTACTACTAAACCACTCATAAATTATTACGCAGTTGCTTCACATCCTTGCAATGCCAATTTTAACAGTTTCAAAGAGCCTGTAATACTAGCATTCACATTTAGAAAATGCACATGAGTGGCAGTAAAATATGCAGTACGGATTAATAAAATCAGAATCCAGCAAGAGTTCTCTCTCTCTAATATCAAGTGTAAAGACTCAGCAACCTTTCTAGATCTTTGCAATATCCCATTACCATCAGATGCTAGCATGTCTGTCCCTTGGAGTGCATGAAAATGTACTGTGCAGTTAAAAATAACCACACATATTCTTGGCATTTCAACTGTTTTCTCATAAATTAGGCAAGTAAGAAAAATATTTTACACATACATAAGATAAATGTGATACATGTATGCAGACAGACACGCAGACATTTTATATTCAAAAATTTTGCAACTCCTATGTTCTCTAAATTAGCTTCAGTTACAAACACAGAATGGCCTTGTGACTACTTCAGAAAAGGATGAGCACACCTTGAGATAATAGCTAATCACAGTACAAGAACTCCACCATTACTGGGTGAGCTGCTAATTAGTCAAAGAGAAATAAAACTGTCATTTAGGCTAAAAAGATAAGGAAAAATAAACAATATTTAAAACTTTATGGTGAGGAAAACAGTATTAAGCATGGCTCTCAGTGAAAAGCTCATAGTAAAAAAGAAAAATCTCAGTATTCATTTAGTCCATTCAAGTAAACATAATTTGAGACATGAGCATTTACTTTTCCAAAATGTGTCATGAAAATGAATAGCAAGAAGGAAGTGCACATCCACTCCGTAATGGTGCACCAGGACCATTAAAACCACATGAATTATTTTGTCAAAGTGCTTAGGAAGATCAGAGATGGTCTTAAAATAACCATTTATCTCCAGCTTAGTATGAACAAGGCTACTTTACTCTCTTTAAACCTTAATTAGTGTATTTAAAAAGTAAGTTGCATTATCAAAGGTAATTAATCACATTTTAGGGAGAGGGGATGGATTGAGATTAAAACTTACATTCTGCTGCTAGGAATGATCTTGTGCCCATCTCTAAACCATGTCACTTGTGGTCTTGGATAGCTGAAGATATGCATGAAGTTTAGAACTGCAGCTTCTCCTTCAGTCACTGTTTTTTTCTGGTTTGTGTCCATGAAATTTCCCATGTCTGCAAAGTCAAAAAAAAATATGTATACTAATAGTTGTAGAAGTTCTCATCCTTCATTTCATTTCAGTAGTCAGAGAACGAAATGTGTTTTACCATAGTTATGGGCGTTGCTATAATTAGTCAACACAGAGCAACGAATCATGAGACAGCACTGATTGCCACACGTTGGGTGAGCAGTAAGGCATAAGGCCAAGCCAAGTGCTGCAAGGGCACACAAGAAGTCAGCTTTACAGAATGGCCAAAGTGTTCTTTTCAGATAACTGAGGGTGTTTTTACTGAAAGTAGAATTTTGATCTTTTTCTTTGTTTCCTATTGATGGTGGTGTGCTCTTGTGTTTCTGGTCGTTTTGGGGTTTTTTTTGCTTCTTTTCTTTATATTCTTTTTAAAGAATACTTCACTTCTTACTCTTCTAGCACACAAAAGAAAACATTGTGCTATGCAAAGAAATGCAAATGGCATATATAATTTTCTGAATTTCTGCTCACCAAATACTTTTTACCACAATACTTTTCCTTCTATCCATATCGAAACAAACAAGCAGCTGCATTACTTGTAGTCATCAATGTGAAGTTAGATCTACATAAGCAAACCATTATACATAAATGCATATCAAACTAACAAGACTGTAACGATGTTGGTAGCAATTAGTTCTTCTGGCTATATGCTGTGATTCAAATAGATCTTTGTCATTTACAAAAACATCAGCAGTATTAAACAGGAGCTTTTAGCAGAAATAATAATAATAATGGAAGAAGGAAAACTACAATTGCAGAACTTCTGTCTCTGAAGGTTTCATTTCATAGGAATCTATGGAGTCCTTGTTAAAAATTTAGCAAATATATTTTTCTTCTTTTCCTTTTGCCTTTTGTGTCTTATTTCTATCCATTAAAATATTATCCATTAAATTATCCATTAAAATGGGAGCTGTAGGCTCCCACTTATTCATCTTCCAAAGAGTTTCTATGCATTTTAATTTGCTTTAAAGTAGGAAACCAATACACACAACTATTCTGGTTTCTGACTCTAAGACTTTCTGGTTTGTTTTTATTTTAGGGACCACTGGGCTCAGGGATGTTCTCCGGGCCAGAGGGATGCGAGTGAGATGGAAACAGAACTCACTACCAGGTCTTTGGATGGAAGGAGATGAGAAGAGAGAACAAAAGAATTAAAAACACATGGTACTTTAAAGGTTTAACTATTTTTGTATTTTTCAAGTAATTTATTCAGACATTGCACTGCCTCTGTTGCTCCGTATTTCTTACAGCTGTAATCAGATCATCTACATGAAGCTTCAAACCGTGTAGGTGGATCCAATTAACTTCACTGTCATATGTTTATTGCAGTCTTCACAATTCAAGAGTTCTAAGCCCATTCTGTAATTAAGATTTACTCAGCAGTTTTCTTAACAGTATCTGTTTCCATTCAGCTAAATCATACATTAGAACATGTTACCAACGTTGTCTAAATTATTTACCAACTTCCCTGCTACATCAGAGGACACGGGCGAAAAAAATACCGCAGGTTATAGAAAATTTTAATCTATGTAAATGCTGTGCCAATCTGATGGACAAGTTTCACAAGAGAAGCAATATAGGTCACTATAGAATCAAGACAGATGATCTCCTAGGCCATGTAAGATCTGCTTTGCTTTGTCTCCATGGCACTGCCAGTGAAAATAAATAAATAAATAAGCTGCTTAACTCAGAGAGAGAAATCTTAACAGAGAGCTTTCTGGCCTTGCTCAGGAATGCAGAACTGTAAATTAAAGGAGTGTGGGGTGCGAATTTTAAGAGCAGAAAAGTAAACAATTACACTTTTTCTCTCAAGAAGAACCAAGAACATGGACACCTACCAAACAAAAAAAGTCTGGAGAAACAAAGCACTTTGCTGAAAATCCTTCTGTCATTCAGAAGGGAACAAAGTTATCTTTTCAAGAGACAGAAATCTTTAGCAGCAGCAGCAGCAAGATAAAGTATTCCTGTGCCACTTTCTCACCATCAATCCCACAAGTGCTTCCTCATGAATTGCTCCTTCTGCTATGGCAGCACAACTGCCTGTGCAGCTGCATACAGAGCCAGATAGTGGGGGAAGGAACAATTTTACCAAACCCTACAAGAATATAAGCACAAAATTCCACATAACTTCCCTCATGACACACTTAATAGCTTCCATAGGTTCCTTGAAACAGGTTTCTAATGAATAACTCAGTGTAGCTAAATTCCACTTACCAAATGACATTTACTAATACTGATTTTCCGTTTATTGACTTGGAGGAATTCAAATTTGATCCCCATGTTAGATTGCTAGCACAAAGGTTTCGTACTTCAAAACATAAAGGCTTAATTTTACTGTTATTTCCAAGCAACTCACTCGGGTAATATCTTCTGTATGTTAAACTTAAACAATATAAATAATTGGAGTATGCAATCATTCTTAAGCCATAGTAATTAGCACTAAATCCTCAGAATAAACTCAGTATTATCAAATGGAAGTTAGATGTGAAATTAGAAGTCAGCTCTGAAAAAATCTCCTCCGTCCAAACTGAAGAGGTACAAACATTGAAACACGTTGAGAACAGACAACGGTTCACAAGCTTTTGGCTCTGAAACAACCAGTTTTGTATCATGAGAATTATGATCTGAAGGCTTCAGGAAGCTGATCTCTTTCAGATATTCCATCCTTCCTTTTAGGAATCCATTTCTTTTTGGATTTTCTTTTTATTATTATTATTATTCTGTGCTATCTGGCCTTTGTTAATCCCTGCATATTTATGGAAGAGCACAATACTCTTCTTTTATCCTAGAGCTATCTCCACATGATCTCCTTCTGATAGTTTGAATAGCTTGAGTCTTCTCTAAAGACTCACTGTAGCACCACTTTGAGCTTGTTTCCCAAGTGTATATTACATTAAGTGTGAAGCTTCTCATGATGCAATAATTCTGAAATTAATATTATATGCAATACATTTTCAGACTAGCAAATTTTATTGGTACCCACAAAAAGGATCAGTTAGTTAACAATTTGACAGAATAACTTCTATCCAAACCTACATGCCACTTGAACTTCAGATCTCCTCTGCAGCAATGCCCCCATTCTGTTACGCACAATGCATTGATAAAAGCCAGCATCAGACCTCTGCAAAGCTGGAATGATGTACCTGTAAGAGAAAAATACAGAATTGTAATACACTTCTTCTCACATGCAGATCAATGCTGCTTTCCATTGCATTTCATGTTATTCCTTTAATATTGTCTCAAAGGCATATTGCATTTTTTCTTAAGAATAGCAAACTTCTAGTCTTAAGAAATACAATTTATAAATACTAATTAGTCTCCACAGTTTCTCTTGAAATGTGGGCTTAAATGCTTTCCTTAGCTTTATCTAACCTCGTTCATAAGGCAAAGATGCCTGGTGTTTTATTCTGAGCTGGCACAAGAAGACTGCAATCTAAACATAGGCAGCAGGAAGCCTCACAAGGACTATCAAAGCTCTGTCGGAAAAAGAACTGTTTACTACACTGCATGACCAGCGTAACTCCAAAGAGCACTGAAAAAGACAGTGCACTGCACACTGTATTTGTTCTGCCCTTTGATGTACAAAAGAAGTCACTACATTCCACTACTGCTCACCTTCTGCATTCAGCTACATCTGATCACTCAACACGAAAATGAGCTGATGAGCACGGTTTTAATGTGAATAAAACACAAGAATAATATAGATAACCCTGCATTAAGCAAACATAAATCAAAGCACATATTTCCCCCGGTCACCTTCTGAAGATATTATGGTGGGATAAATGAAAGCCTTTATGAAAAGGAAAAACAATACCACTGAACTTTAATCTTTGAAATTTAATCCCGCTAAAAGAAAGGATCTCTTCCCATACTCACACATAGCAGACACACCCACACACAGAGCAGCTAATATGTGAACAGGATCAGACAACACAAAAACAAAGGATAGAGAAGAAATCTAATTTAAGTGATAAATGTTGTCTGTAATCACTGCATTATAATCACAATCAAAGACATTACAGCAAATAGGTCAACCGACCTAAAAGAGTAAATAAAACCAGAGCCCAGTGCCACCAACAAATGGCACCAATCTAATCTGATGCCTAGCAGCCCTGGCTTCCTGAGGATGAGTTACGGGCACTTGTGCTGTCTGCCTGCCTGTGCTGACTCCTCCTGACCTGCTCTGGTGCAACCAGCAAATTTCCTTCAGGGATTATGACAATTTGTACTGGGAAGATAAGACAGACTCACAATCCTGCTCCGTTTGGAAGCAGTAAGCTGGACAAACAGCACACAAACACTTGCTGTTCAGTGAGTAGATACAACCCTGAATCTACCACATTGCCTTGCCTGATGAGTGTGACATAGGAAACAGAAAATAGGTGAAAATAAAGGGTGTAAGATAGAAATCAAGACAACATATGGCTTCCTGTTTTCCTTCCAGAATAATTTCCTTCTACAGCAGATGACTGCTGCAAAGCATCACTAGCCAAAAAATATATATTTAAAGATTCTGACAAATAAATATTGATAATTCATTTTAACAGCTAATATTACCACACTTGTTATTGTACTTGGCAAAAATTAATTCTTCTGCTTGTCTACAAAACGGAGCCAAAATTAAAGGCTTATTTCTCTGCTCCTCATCTATACCAAGAAAATAATAGTTACTTCTTCCACTAGGACAAAACAAATCAATTACATCAGAAATCTCCTACATTAGTGTTCTTTTCTAACTTATTAATGTTTCAGCAGAAAACATTCATAATATCTTGCCTGAAGAAAACCTTTTGGTAGAAAAGCTTTTAAAAGTTTGCGTGAAAATCCCATCTATCTTGGGAATTCCAGCACAGCCCAAACCTACACCTCTCAGTGGATCTACCAAATAGCAACGTGCAGGAAAGGCAAACAAATGGCACATCCTGGAACATGGATTTGAAAATGGGATGAGTCAGGGTTTTCTGAGTGACAACGTAATGGGATACGTGCAGATTGTCAAAGAAAGAAAAAGCAAGAGCTTGAAAAACGTTTTGGAAGGATGCTGTGTGAGATGGGAAGCAACAAGGAAGAAAGTAGGAAGACTTCTAAGGAAAGAAGGGACTTGAAAGGAAATTAAACTGATTTGGCTGGTGCGCTGCTCGTGTTTGGGATAAAAGGGAAGAATACTTAAGAAACAAATATGATGCAGCCTGATCACACAGGACCTTAAAAGAAAAAACATGATCCAAGTCTGACAATGAGCTCCTCAGAGAAGAAGAAAAGTTAACTGCTCAGCACTTGGTTGTTGTGCCAACTTCAACTATTCAGTACTCAATCATTACTTGACTGTTCAGAAGAATGTTCTACACAAGTCACTGAAAAGAACACACTTGTTTCTGAAGAGGAAAATCATCTGATCTCTGGTTCTGACAGACATCAGAAGAAAAGCGAATCTAGACTGGGGGAAGGAAATGGATTCAAGTTTTCCAGCTAGCAATTTTAAAAGGCAATCACAGCAGGATGTCACGTTTCTAGAAAAAAAGAGTGATATATGCTTTTTGTCTAGGATAAAACTCATGTTCAGTGTTAAAAAAAAAAATATAATAAAATATAATAATCAGATACTTTTAAGCAGTTCACAAGGAAAGCATACTAGTGCTTAGAATAACCTTGGTTTCTAAGATTAAATAAACTAAAATCCTCAGGCAACAAAGGGAAATGCAGACAATGCATTTGGTCCAGAACTTAATTCCACAGAAAACAAACGAATCAAGAAAACCAACCAACCAGTAGGGGAGGAGGAAAAAAAAAAAGACAGACACTGAACTTTGAATACTCACTACTTACAAATGCAACCAAAATTGCTACTTTAGTCAGCAATATTGATTTGTTTTCACTACATGCAACTCAGATCACAAAGAATTTGTAAGGTTGGTTTATAAATTCTTAATACAAACTGGTGTATGCACAGTCACTATAAAGGCCAGGCTGTGTGCATAATCAGCATCGTTATACGAAGAAAAGCTGTTCATGTGGGGTCACCAGGGGCAAAATGCAAAGGCTCCAATTAGTTCTTTACTCACTTGGTGTGTCATAATAAGCTTGGAATATTTTCAGCAAGGTACAATATACACATTACTTTAAAACACAAGAAGTAATATCAATTACTGGAAATCTTTGATTCATGATTCAACTTGTAGCCAGAGTCACACAAGAAAGATTCATGCATTTAAAAAGAATATTTACCTAGGAGCTGCAGAACAAACTATCATGGGGTCAAAGTTTAACTTCTGCAACCACAATTTTTATGTCTAAGCATATTCTTTCTTTCCTTTAATTCATCCCAATGTACCTATGCCACATAACCCTCCTTGGAAGCTTAAAGTTCTGTACTGCCACAGAATCGAGATCCTCTCTGGCTGCTCCCTGACTGCAGTAAGGAACTACAGATGAGCAGTAGGATGGGTGCAATGTCTAAAATAATATTTTCTGTCAATGTTATTTTACTATGAACTAGTAGCTTCCTACCTTTTTAACCACCTTTGTAGCAGGTGTTTTAGTTACAAATGGAAAAGAGAACCATATTCTGATACACTGATTCTAACTTACACTGCAATTCACACCAAATTTTGTGTTTTGAATCTCAGTGAGCTTATTAGGGATGTGCACTTATGCAGTAAGAACCGTGGCACTCTGATGTTAGTTTCAAAATGTCATACACTCCTGTTCAGATTTTCTGTTATTCTGAAGTGTAAGTCCCTCAGTACTTGCACACCAACTGAGCTCAAGCTCTAGCCTCTGCTTTTTGTTATCACTCCATAATCATGCAATCTTGCCCCTGTCTAGTTTCTTTCTGTTATTTTCTCAGCGTCTTACATGGGTAGAAGCTGTCATCAGCTGCAAACTGCGATGGACTCAGTTGTTGTTAGTCAAAACAACAGTGGCATTTATCCCAAGCAATGTTCAAACCTTCCCTGATTAGCAGGGCTATTATAGATCTTAATTATGGACTACCATGTATAAACAGCATAGAATACTATAACATTATCCACCTTCTTGTATCAATCTATACTCTAATTTCTTTCTGCAATGGTAGGAGAATATTTCCCTACTTCTTGTAATTATATTAAGAACAGAATTGAGCTTGCTCAGCTAAATACGAGTGCTAGTACTAGGGGGTCTGTCTCTCACATCCCTGCACGTTAAAACTTCTGAAATCACCAGGTAATTCAACAGAACTTAAAAGAAGCACAGGAGTTGCAGAAATATTAAATTTCTATAAGGTTATGGAAATCAGCAATTGCATAGGGGAGACCCAGTTAATGTTGCCATGAAGGAAAAGGCAGACAAATCTTGGCTGCTCTACACTTTGATGTTTGGCCAGCCATCTGCTGCCTATCAACAAAAACCTAGCTCTGATTAGCCACAGTGTGCTTTCTCTCTTGCCTAATGGGATGTGTTGAGGGAGTCAACGAGGTTCAGGGAACAAAGTGCATAATCACAAAAGAACAGTTTAACTACAAATTTTCACATTCTCAGAAGTAAAAATGAAAGTTACATATGGAGTTTAAGATAGACCACATACTTTTATTTCTACAGCTTAATAAGACAAACAGATCCACTGATGTTAGTACCCTTCAAGGATAGGTAGTATATCATACATAACATTTAACCAATGCCTGTTCTGCTTTCAGCATGCAGGAAAGTACCTAAGGTAGCAAAAAAATACAGATCAAAGTGACCTTAAAAACTTCCTTTCAATCCTCAAAAAAATCCCAATTTTTATTCAGTAACATCTAAACAAATATCAGCAATGTGCCTGCTCTTCACTACAAGTATGTATTAAACTTCAAAACCAGCAAAATCACTGTTGATACTTAGAAGATTCTACATCAGAAACTTTGTTTTGGAGTGTTGAACACATTCAACAAAGGCAATTCTCTGAGACATCTCACCCACCTACAAAAAACGATCTTCATAATTTAAAAAAAAAAAAATTGTAAATACACCAGTATTTACAAATGTGATTTCATGTATTGGGTTATTTTTGTTTAAAATTATACTTAGAGAAGGCTTTTATTTACTTGTATTCACTGGAGTAGGTGGTTATTTCACTGTCATTGTGTAACCACTTAAATTCCAAGGGCCAGCTGCCTTCAGCAAGGCACGTAAGGACGAGTCGATTTCCTTCCAGGTGGATCTGGGGCAAGCCTGGCTCTGTCTTGAAGTATGGAGCAACATCATCTGAAACAGAAACAAAATAGTTCTGTAAGTTAAGCAAGTGTAGCACGAGACACCAATTCTTTGCTCCTTTTTTCCTCAAAACGAGCAATATAACAGCTACAACATGACTCAGTAGTTAAGGCATACGCTATTATATTTATAACCAAGCTTGCTAAGGAAATTAATTCCCAAGTATACAAAATTGTAATAACCTCAGACTTCGCACATATTTAGAAGGAAAGTGCATATTCAGCCAAGATTTTGTCCACATTTAGTACTTATACATACAGCACTGTCTATTGTGCTAGACAACAAACAGCTCTATTAGTTTGTTTTGTGCTTTTTTCCCCCATTCTCTGTGAGGTTTAAATCCACTCAAAACACTTTATTTTTTTAATAGAAAGCACAAGAGTAATCTCGGATAGGAATGATTATCACAGCAGGAGAAGTCTCAGGGTAAATGAAGAACTTGAAGAGGAAAAAAAAAGAGTTTAGAACAGAAGATCTCAAAGAATTGCACAATAAATGTGTTTTTCAATATTACTGCTAAGCAAAATGCATTAAATTATATTACCCCAAACCACTAACAGATTTTGAATTAGGGTACTTCAATAATGTTCAAGGATCACATGTAGTCTCAAACTTGTTCTCCTGTGGATCACAAACGTTCAAAATACTTCAAGCAGCATGATTCTCAACTGCTAAATTGCCATACCTCCACTAACAAGCAGATTTATTGCAGTTTTAAACCCGTTGGGATGCACCCCTTAGTCGACTCTGGGAGATCAAGGCTTTCACACTTCACACCTCAAATTTCTACTTGTAACTCTGTCAGAACCATAGACCGTTCATTTAAAAATTTACAAATGCCTTCTGTCATCAAAGGAATGGGTACGTCTGTGCAAGTAAAAATACACAAATGTTATGCTAAAGGCCTGAGATTTGATGTGAAATACAGAATAATATTACAGGCTGGCCTGTAGAGAGGACGTGAGGTCACCTCCTTGGAGATGGTCCCAAGGGTGAGTGGATGCAGGCAAGTACCCCAAGCAGGAGCACGCAGAGCTGTGCGCCCAAGTGGGACCCAGAGGTTCCTTCTCAACTCAGGCAGTCAGAGAATACTTTGAAAGTATCATCAGTGTTACCGACTTCTGGGAGACTCCCAAGGGAGTTTTGAGACAGACTGCCAGGAAAGATGCCAGTCTACCTTGTGAAAAATACACTGGCAAAGAGGTGCATCTGTATTTAAGGGAAGGGGTTGTCCCAGGAGTTTCCAAGTCCTACAGCACAGGGTTCCACTGCTGAGTTAAAATGACTAGCACTGTGTTCACTGAAAATAGTTCTATTTACCTGCTCATATTGAAAGGCTCACGGAATGAGGTCATTCATTGTTCTTCCCTGAAGGAAGCTGAACCATTTACAGTAAGACCATAACGAAGCTAACTCCATAACTCTGAACCTCTACCCAGGTAACTCGTTGATCTTTTTTTTTTTGAGGGGTTTAAAGAACCTAACAAGATAGCACCTTTCATTACTTCACTCTGAGTTACCCACTTACACATCTCAGTTTACGTTTCTCCAAGAGCAACTGATTTACTCGAAAGGCAGCCTGCTGCCCACAGTCCTGTCACTCAGCCATACCTCTCTCACTCAAACAATCCCAAGGCTGTGATGCTGCAGCCCACTCACGGCTTTCCCCCATTTAGAATACCACAGTCAAGCTGGTATTACATGAAAATGGTTCTCAAAATTCAATCCAATTCTGTTAGAAGCTAAAATTTAATAGACCTAGGGGAATATTTTGATAAAGAATATGCCATGCTTTATAAATTATCGCAGCTCTCTGGAAGATTTACTTAAAGCCTTGAAGTAATTTTATCTTCTAATCTTTTATTCCTGACTTCCTCATCAATCAGATCCCATCAGTTTATCAAATTCAATTATGTAATCAGAGCTCACTAAATATTCACCGAAAGCACAAATGAAAATAAAATAATAGGCAAGGATTCCACGAAGGCAGCGGTGAAGCTCTAATGGTATCGGTACGGCACAGCGCCGCTCACCGCACAGGTAGAAGATCCGTATGGCATTCCACAGATGTCACCTACAGGGACAAGTCTGGGTGTTGTAAAGCATCACAGGGAAACTGGAAAATCAGCAGGCATAACGAAAGCTATTTCACAAAGAAAAGTGCAAAAAAGGAGGAGCTGGCTGTGGGATAGAGAACAAAGTGCATCCTTTAATAGGCATGGGAGACTTGGACTTTCATATAAGACAGGAAAGTCTCACTTAAGCCTAACTTTGGGCAATCAACAGTTTTCAAGTCGGAAGGCTCTCTTAACTTTTATTCTCTTGAAAAAAAGGAGCAAAAAGATAAAAAATGCATTTGAATCCTAGGAACAAGAGTAATAAAATAATGGAATTAGGACTTTTAGCTAAGAGAGTTTCATGACTATAAAAATGCAAGCATTCACATTACATGCTGTTGCTTTCCTCTGACTACAATGTGGGTTAACACTTCCAGCCTCTCTGGCTCTTCAGCTCGGCTGTCTTAAAAATAAAAATAAAATGTCTGAGCTGCAAGGAGGAATAAAAGGATAAGATGCGTATCAGTGGGTGCATATATCCAGCTTCTGCAATTTTTCCAGCAGGTCTGCTTACCAAACACTAACCTCCTGACTGGTGCCCTTAAAAAGGATGACGTAGATTTATTTTCATGAAAATCTTAAGAAAAAAGCATGACTGAATGTCAAAATTATCTAGATATTTGCTCTAAAACCTGTCTGCCTTGCTTTTATGCATCGTTAAATGGAAAGTTACATTATACTGCCAGGTTAGCCTGTCTGTTTGCTTTCCTTGGCACATGAAAAGCTTAGATGAATTATATCTCAAAATATATTTTCGAGGCCCAATTTGACAATGCACATACACCTCTGGTTGGTTTAATGCTGACACTTAAACACACACAAAAAAATTCCTAGATGCATTTGTTACCAACTTTGGGCTTCTCCCCTGGCAGTTGAGGTTTGTCACAGGAGCTGAGAGGTCTCATTCTGTTCTCCCTGAAAACTAAAAATCCATATTTAATCTTGAACACCTCTACCCCACTGAGAAAAGGGAAGTTGACAGACTCCAGAGAAGTCCCACACCATCCACACCTGTGAAAAGCACTGAGGCTGCCCAGTTACATCTTAGCAATTTTCCCTTCGGAAATCCAGACAAAATCACTTGTTCATATCCTGAGAAAATGAGTAACAGTTTCAGAGATGTTCAGAGAAGGATTTTAGCGAGTACAGAGAACAGGTTAGCACATCCTCACAGCCATTGCAATTTGTCTTCATTAGATAAATCTGCTCTCAAATCATTTTAGGTGAGACAATATTGAATATTAAAAGTAGATTAACCTGTTCATGAATCAAATCAGAGGAAATACAGCTCAATCACTAATACATTTCATTTTTACCATCAATTCCCATACCTCAGTTTACCCAAGAGGCATGATATTGAAAACAAATTTCTGGCTGCAAAACTTTTCGTTGAACTCTAGCAAAAACACAACTTATTTATTAAAATGCACATCTACAGTGATTCCACCTTTTTGGAGTTTGGTAAAGCATGATGTCCATTGCCCTTTTTCATACACATATGTAAAGCCATGACCAGCTGACACAGAAGATAATATCTCTGAGCAATTTCCCAGGAAAATGAGACTACAAGCTTTCCATACAGTGGCAATTACAAATGCATTTGCACTCCCTATTTGCAAGGAAAAGAGATGTGAGCTATCTTAAGTTAGGTTAATAACTGCCACAAAAACAGCTTCTTAGAAGACCTATGTTGTACATTACACAACAGCTAAAAAGGAAACAATCAGGAAGCTCAAACTTCAGACAATCTTTTCAGCAATCTGAGTAAAGAGGTGAAACTCTGGGCAGCAGAATCCCATCAAAAAGATTCAAGTTCAGCTGTGGAATTCATAAGCCAATGCTTTGGATTGCACACAGTAATTGAGCATGAGCTGCTCTGTGCTGATTGACAGCTGATAACTGTAACCTTCTGGGGAATCACAGCCATTTCCTTCTTATTCATGGCTTAGATATGCAAAAGATTTTTCTCTTTTTCTTTTTGAACTGATCCTAATTCCTGACACGTATACATGCATGTACTGGCTCCGGATCCAAGTTGTACGCTTTGATAGAAATAAACTTCAATAGCTTATATAACATATGTATTTGTAAGAACTACATGGTGAATCTTGGGAAACGTAACAGGAAGTCAAACTGAGCTCGTACATTTCAGTCAATCTTCTTTTTATTTCAAACCTTTTAAAATGCATTCAAGTGGTGTGAAAGTTAGTATTTGATCTATATGTAACTGTCAACGTCAAACACACATGAGAGCACTGAGTCACTTTAACCATATTGATTTGCAGTAAGGCTATTTTACCCAAAATATTGGTATCTGAGATTCAGATTTTCTTGGTTGGAAGTGTGACATAAATCACTAAATAGAACAATTAAATTAAAATTGCATCATACTACCTCATGCTAAGCCTGGATTTGGGATGCATCACAGTGAATATTTCATTAAAGCACCGGGTTATTTTTCAAGTATACTGCCATGGTTCAGAATTTTTGCACAGTAGTATAAAACATTTCCTTAAAAGGATTTCTTGAACTTTTATCAGAGACAATATCTGATTTCATATCAGAATAATACTGAAGCACATGTACTTAAAACAGCATTTAAATAATCAGTTTCATGAAGTCAACTAAATGAGCCCACGTGGCCCTTTTTTGTTCATGGTAGACAAGGAAGATAATGTACTTGTTGAACACGTCTGCTATCATCTCTAAATGCAAGTAACTGCTGAGGTTGATGGATGATGCTTTTAAAGGTTTAATTGGGGATGGAATTAAATTGTTTTAGGACTCAGCAAGTTCTGTGAGGGAACCTGCATATTTCTAGAATAAGTGACATTTATTTCTTTTAAATGTACAGTCAATGGAAGACAAGATTTC